TACCTAGCAGATGGGCCTAAGGCCTTTTACCTATCAAACGCTGGCCCTTTCAAAGACCTGGAAATCCAGGAGCTTATCGAGGATAAATTCGCGGGGCAAAAATACTGGATGGGTAAAAAAATGCTTGGGAGAATTAAGACTCCCAAACGGTTATTGATATTTGAGAAGAGTCAAGGACTCTACTCGTTCGAGGTCGGGGACAAGGCGGGATTTTTGCTTCGGTTTAGGGCAATAAGCAGAACAAAAAAATGTGGCTACTGTGGGAAGGAACACGAGGGGGGGGCGGGCTCCTGCCCTCTAATACAACCATGTGAACCTAGCGCGGAATTAAAAAATAGGCTAGTGAGAATGCCTATCTAAATACCAAATGATTCATTGTTTTTATAACTGTTGTCCCACAAACACCATGTCTTTTATTGTGACCTCGTTGAATTGCTCGTCTCTATCGATAAATCGCCTAAACACATTAATTAATTGGAATATTATAAACAAAACAACTATTCTCCTCTTACAAGAGGCTAGGCTAACTGATGAAGACTTGAGAGTTTGCCTCCAAATCTTCCCATCAGTTGATATTAGAAGTTGCTGCCCCTCACTATCGTCAGGTGGGCTAATCACTATAGTGAACAAAAAAGTTGCAAAATTCGACGACAGTAACGGAGACGGAGTGGTAGTTAGCGACGAGAGCGGCCGCCTTCTGGTGACTGATATTAAGCTTCACAACACTTTGATCACTGTTGGTAACATTTACTGCCCTGCCAAAACGCCTCAATGGCTTAAATGGTCAAAATGGACAATCAATGAGCTCCCAAGGGGGATAGTTGACTGTGACATAATAGGTGGTGATTGGAATCAGACTATGACAGTCAAGGATCGAACATCCAAACGACCACCATCCAAGGAGGTCAGGGAGACATTCGACACGCTATTAGATATTCTTGGCTCGTCCGATGACACACTAATAGACTCGTATGACTTCAAAGGAACGGACCATATTGAATACACCCACTTCAACTCCAATGAGGGAGCATCACGAGTGGACCGAATATATATCGCATCCTCATGGAAGCATATGATTACCCGAATTGAAATCAAGCCACCACCCATATCAACGGACCATAGAGCAGTGAGTCTATGCCTCCAAATGTACCAAGATAGGGCAAAAGCTGGGAGATGGCGCTTAAACCCCCTACTACTCAAACACAGAATCATCAGTAAGGCACTGGATGAGCTGACATTGAAAAGCTGGGAGGCTATGAAGGCCGATGCCATCCTGATCTTACAACAAGCATCCGCTGGTGCTAATCGCAAAAGGAATTGTCAACTACAAAGTCTCAGTAGAAGAAGACGGAACTTGACCCGAAAATTAAGTCATACCCCCACAATAAGCGTACTGAGACAGCTCAGACAGCTACATATTAGGGAGCAGGTGCTAACAGAGGGCAAGGCAAATGATTTTACTTACAAAGTAAGGGCCAAGCACCATATCCTTAACGAAAAGCCGAATAAATGGTTCTTCAACAAATTGAGGGACTATAATCCGGGCTCCATAAAAGCCCTATATGATAAGGAAGGAACATTGATCACAGACCCTGAAGGAATTGCTAGAGTAACATCTGAATTCTGGGGACCACTGTATCAACAACGTGAAATTGATATCATCGCACTTCACGAAATGCTGGGTAACTGGGGGAACAGAATATCGCCATCCGAAATAAGATACATCAGCAGTCCAATAACAGGATCTGAAGTATGCAAAGCCATATCAGGTCTAGGGTATGGCAAAACCCCAGGAATGGATGGCTTACCTGGAGAATTCTACAGGTTATTCTCGGGTCCAGCGAAGAACACACCAACACACAACCCTGTAATTACCGCTCTGGTAGCAGAATTCAATAGGGTCTTAAATGGTGGGAAACCGATGGCTGAGTGGCTAGAAGGATGCATGGCAGTCCTATATAAAAAAGGAGAGAGAACGTGCGCCGCAAATTATAGACCACTAATTATGCTAAATGTGGACTACAAAATATTCAGTGGGATACTTTCAGCAAGGCTAGCATCAGTCTTACCTACAGTAATAGGTACTCATCAAGGAGCCTTCTTACCTGGAAGACTGATAGACGACAACATTCGATTGGTGCAATTGGTCTCAGACCTTCTCAGAGGACCCAACAGTCAGGGTGGTTCCTTACTGTTCCTCGACCTAGAGAAGGGTTACGATCTTGTAAGCCAAGAAGCATTGTGGATCATCATGAACCATATTGGACTACCAGCCCGAATAATACATTGTATCAAACAATGCTATAGAGGAGCAACAATAGTACCCATGGTAAATGGGATTAAGGGAGCAGCGATCACAAGACACAGAGGCATACACCAGGGAGACCCACTTAGCTGCATGCTATACTTGTTAGTAATAGAACTGGTCGCAAGACAAGCTTCAAACACACTACAAGGCTGCAGATAGGAGGTCAATCACTTTTGACAGCCCTGCTCTTCG